ATAAATTAAAAGTCAGACTTGAATTTTGATGCTCAAAAGTATTACTGTTTCTACAAAGCTACCCATCCATTTGAGAAAAACGATTATAAATATATTGCTTCGTTTAGTTTTGGTTATGAATTTCTCTTGAGGTTAGAAAAATATCTTTAAAAATTAATAAATTTGTCTATTCTTTTATAAGCATCCAACTCATTCAAAAATACTTAACCAACGTAGAAAGTAATTCAGTGAAGAACATGTAACTGTAATTATTATTATTACAAAATTTATTAGTTGTGATGTAGAAGTCACTACATGATGTTTTGTTGCTTACATTATAGATTGCACACAACACCTACAAGCGTTCAGCAGCAATTTATAAAAGTTAAAAAGAAGAAAAATTATATTTTAAAAAACAGTGTTAATAACAAGTGCATGTGAACTAATGGTGAATTTAACTTAAAGCGATGAAATTTCACAAATGTTAAGAAACCATTCGAACAACAACAACTTACAAACACACCACGCTAAATGTTAAAACAATTATTTAATAGTGGTTGTGTTAATAGTAACTGACAAACACGTATTCACAAAGTTACTGATAAAGTTGCAAGTTGAAAGAAAAAACGTGGAACCAATGAGAACAGTCCTGTAATTCACATTTTACGAAGTGTAGTTATCCTGACGGTAGATATTGTCCAATATATCTTTACAGTACACAAAAATCAGAATACTTGTACATCATAACAATGGCAAGTTATGTCATATAAATATCTTTCATTCCCATCGTATTTTGTTATTAATATTTATTGATTTGGTACGGTTATTAGTTATAATGATCCAAATAACAATCTTATATATTCATGGTGATATTCTTCTTAAACTGACAGTTAATAGTTATTCTTCAAGTCTAAAATACCACCTCTCCGTTCACTTAGCATACTTAACAGCAGGTTGTTTGTTTTAGGATTTTCCCGAAAAGTTACACAATGATTTATTTGCACATAGTTGCCATTAATTCTTAACAGACAGACTAGATGGAAGGTAGCTAGGTAACAGCCCCCACGGCCATCAGTTGGCCTACTGTTGTCTGATCAGCAGTTGTAATAAGGGCTTATTCAATTATAACTGCATAAAAAATGTTTAAAGCAATTTAATATTTGGTTTATTACTTATGACGACGGTTTAATTATAAATGACACAGTTAAGGTTTACATGAAACAAATATTTAAAATGTACTTGCTTAAAAATAACAACACCAAAAGTTAGTTATGTACATATTTGATTGAAAGTTAACTGACCTAAAAAGGCACATAAGATCAATATCTTAATTCAAAATATGTTTCCTGTGAACAAGTTGGTAATTCTGTGGGACAATGTCAAAAATTAAATAGTGAGAATTTAGAGATATTGACTGAGATTATATATGTTGTTACATGATGTAGAAAGTTTTGGCGAGAATAAAGGCAATTAACATTTCTATAAACAATGATTTAACGTAACAAGAAGCTCATTTAACAAATAACC